TTAATTTATTAAAACGTAAGTAGCCACAGGGTGGGGGTGGCTACTATATTGGGCAGCATAGTTTAGAGATTACATTGGTAAAACACAGTCGATGTTTCATGTTAGCTAATGTTAGCTAGTTTAAAAGGTCAAAATTGTACGAGACAGTAGAAGGAAAGAATCTCTACCAGGAAAATACTCTGGTCAAGCCTAGAATTTGAAGGCCCCAAATTATTTAGAATGAATTAAGAATGAATGTGGAATGTTTAGTTTGGCGATGATTCTAGACTTAACTGATGGCATGGACTTTGAAGCCAGTATTTGAATGCATGGAAAGATTTGACAGGACTCAAAAGTAGGAAGAAGACATTGAGAGCTCTGATAACTTTGTAATTTTCCCCCAATTGTCCTGAAAATATCCTTAAAAGATCCTAGAAAGAAAAAAATAATTCAGATATATCCAGGGCCAATGTTTATATATAGTAGAATATCAGTCTTCTGAAAATTGCTTTTGGTGGAAGACCAAACCTTAGCTCTGATTAGATTACGTCCTGGTGCTTTAGCTAAATTCATTCTACAACCACCTAGCTGGTTCTGAATTTACAAAGCTGGTGAAAATACAATGGAATATGTCACCTAAATTAATATTTTATTTTTTATATAAATTGTCAGTTTAGCTACAAGAATCAATTCTTCCCTTAATTTGCTGGTACCTTGATGAGAAAATATCTATATCAGAATTATCAATTCATGATACCACTTAGCTCCCGCAATATGAGTCTCTACATTAACCTGATAATTGAGATTCTGGACTCAAGTCTTTGCATAGCCCTTCCCCTGAGATGCCTAATAAATTCAGGAATTAAGTAAAGCATTCTATGGGAAATGCAAATTATATTGATCATCTGAATAGATCCCAAGTGAATTTTCATCATTCCTAAAATTCCCATGGTCTAGTGGCCCTTGTTTGCAAGCTCATCTGCAAGTTCAAATGCATTAAAGCAGCTTTGTTGGTTAATTTAGGTTTGTTATATGAATATGTTTAATCTGTTTAAAGCTAGTAATTGTCATTGCTTTTTAAATTGTTTTGTTGCTATTATTATTTATTGCTCTTCTCTTTTGCTTACATTCCTTCCAAAGCTCAGATTTGGTTAGTTTTTGCTCACATATTAGCCGAGTTCACAATCTGACAGATAGTAGATAATACTCAGTGAAACCTTAGACAATTCATTTAATTGCCTTGGCATCAGTTTCATTAACTGTAAATGAATATGTTGCAGATGATCTCTTAGGGGAGTGGTTCTGAAATTGGGGGTGAAGTGACACAAAGAAGGGTGACTTTCACATGACATTCCCCTCCCTTTATATAATGCAAGGTGTTACAGATAGATGTATATTGCGCATGGTTTGAAAGTATATAAAAGTCAGAATTCTTTTTTAGTCATTAACTTTAACAATTTGTGATTTCCATGTTCATGATCTTTCCATGCTAGTCTATCTCAACAAAACCAAATGATTCATTTTTACAAAACTAAGTCTACTTTGATCCTGTAAGTTGCTGAAGAAAGGGACAAAGCCCTTAGAATGTCGAAATTGAGATAAGTCAATAATCATAACTTCTATTTAGTTTTCTTCATGTTTATTCACAAAGTAATTCTGCCTTTACACCGAGTAAAAGAGAAGTTGTTTCTGACTACCGTAGAGAAATACAAAAGGGAATTTTAATTTTAACCTCCATTCTGATAACATAGCTCTTCAACACATTAACTTGTATATCTGTGTATGTGTGTGTGTATCTATCTTTACATCTTTCATATCTTTAGTTATTTCACTAATAAGACAATTCAGACTTGGAAAGTAAACTTTGTGGTTTATTTTTTTATCCCACTTTATTCTAATAAAAAAATGTTTTAAACTACCTATTTTCTCTATTCCTGGCAGCTATTATCGTGACTATAATTGCCTAGTTTCCTTTCTGCTGATCTATTGCTAGTCTTTATCTGAATGTTATTAAAGAATATAAATGCTCCATAGAGCACCATAGTCTCAGCCAGAATATTTTCAGATTCTCAGCTAAAATGAAACAGAACTGGTGCTTTAGCTGTTAAGTAAGTAGCTCAGATTTGTTGTCAGAGTGTGTGAGGAGCTCTAAATTCATTACGTTAGTTGTTCCTGCGAGGTAGCATTTGAAAAATAGCTTCGGCTGTTTATAGATTGTGGTCCTTGGGCACCAGATAGTGGATGTTGGAATGTATTGCAGAAAAGCTGATTAAAGTACTAGGATCTCTAACAGTAAGAGTAGAAAGTCAATTGTAATACCTGTGGCTGACTCTGTTGGATGCACTTAAATATTTCCTTTTGAAAGCTTTGGTTTAATATCAGCTTTTCCAGGAGGAATAACATTTTTGCAAAAAATGTGCCTTTGGTGAAAATATCAATAAGGTATGCTTGATGAGAAGTTTATGGAGGTAGACTGGTTTGAACTTTGAGGACCCCAAATACTTTGCAGTTTTATTACCTCGCTTATTAGAGTCATGTTTCACTATGACTAAAATTTCGATAGTAGTAGCTTCTTTCAGTTCACAATTTTAATGTGTTTTTATTGTAAATCAAGGAATTTATACTTACTCTAAAATACACACTATGTCAGAATTTAGGTGTTTTTCTCCTTTTTTTTTTTTTTTTTTTTTAGTGGAGGGCACTTTCCAACAAAAGTTGCAAGAATAGCGTATGGAAATATTTTATATAATCATAAAACTTACAAATCTTTAAATATACTTTGTCCTCCCCTTGTTAAAATATTTCAGTAGTTCCTTATTGACTTTAAAACAAAGGACCTATTTCTTAGCTTAGGGAGCCATTCTTGATCTTTTCATTTCTTCTCTGCCCCATCTTTACCCATTCCCCTGCAAGTATCCTTCGCTTCATTGTGTAGAGAGCTGTTATGTCCCCCCCTTCTCTCTCTTTTTATTTTTGACTGGTTGCTTCCTCCTTAACCTGAGCATCACCTACCTACTCTTCCTTCAAAACTCTGCTTCAATTTCTCCTCTTCCAGAAAGGTTTCCTTGAACCACAACTCTGCCTCTTATTAATCTCATTTAGACTAGCCAGTAAGCTCTTTATAGCATTTCTTAAGGTATTTTTTCATACTCCACTGTAATTATTTGTTACTTATCTGTCTCCTTTAATAGAATAATAGTCCCTGTGGTCAGAGGTGATAGTGTCTTTTGGTTTAGAATCTGGCCTTTTGAATAAAGTTTGGTGAAAGAATGACTTCTAGAGATAAGTTTCCTAACTTGGCTTACTTTGACCTTGGTTCTTTAGGCATTTGAGAGGATGGGTTATACCATTTCCTCACAAAGAGCTTTTAAAATCAACCCTAATTTTCATATGTTTAATAAAGGTAGGTCTTGGGCTTTGGGAAGGCAGGAGCCTAACTGGCTAGACAATATAATAATATAATTTTTATCCCATCAGTTAGCTAAATAATCTGAAATCTAATTTATGGGAAATTGTAAAGACCAACTCTGTAATCATGAAATTGTACATTCAAGCTTATATTTCTGAACCTATGACTTTACTGGTATACAGAATTCCCTTAGGAGAAAACAGATGTTTAACAGCTTTTTCCTCATTTGAAAATATCTGGTTATAGTTTCTAGATTTTAACCTAATCTAGAAGAAAGACAAAGCTAAAGAATCTTTGTTAATAAGGAGTTATAGACTTTAAACATGTGCTTGGTAGCTTTGAGGTGTCTTTGTAGTATTTGCGTCAATATTCTGCATTCTATAGCAAAATAGAAACAATATGTGAAGAAGCCCATATTTACATATAAGATTTAAAAAACCAATTTATTTTATAATACAATTATAACATTTTCATTTAATCCAAAATTTTATTTCTTATATATATACTTAATATTTGCTTTCATATAATTATTTGCTAAGACACTTTATATAATTATTTCTTTAGTAATACAGCAAACTGAGTCAGTGTATTATAGCTGAATCATAGTCCTGGCTGTTCTTTTTATTTATTGAAGGAACAAACGCTGTATTATTAACATTCCTTGTCCTTCAATTGAGCTTGCAAAAGAAACTTGTTTGTTAGATCTTAAAGACTCTATTACAGAGGGTTTGTAATTATATTTGTAGTTTCAGGCTGTGATATATTTTAAAAATCCATGGAAATCCGTGGAAAAATAGAATGGGGAAAAATTACTCACGTCGCAATAGTTGCATATCTGCTCATTTTCAGAGGCTCCCAACCTCCTTTTAAAAAATATTCTTAAGATTTATTGTTTGTTAAAATTTGGTATTGAGTTTGTTGTATAAAGCATAAAGATTACAGCACATTAGAATATTATTGCCATTTAAGAATGTATTCACTGTTTTGGTTTCTGGAGCGCTGCCTCTAAGAGGTTCATGGCATTTGGTACGTAGTTCACGTATTTCTAGTCTACAGACCTTCCCTATCGAGGCAAAGGCTTCATGGTTCTGATATTTGCATTTGCTACCGCTATAAAGCTCAACAATGGTAATTAATGGTTTTTAAAAAAAACTTTCCATGTCATTACAAATAAAACTTGAGTTTTTTGAAGCCTAGTAATTTGTACCTTTAAAGAGCCACATTATTTTGCTTTTGTCTCAGGATGTATTATGCTTCACAAGTATACTGTGACAGCCTGAATAGAAAAGGGGGGAGGGGACATTGTCTTCAGCTGGCATGCTGTTATCAGAGGGAATGTGTTTCTGGACACGAGATTTAGCATTCATTGGTTGTCTGGAGAAAGCTATTTCATCTGAGGATTGGACAAGAAGCTGCGTCAATTTGCTGCCCGTCTCCAAGGCACTGGTGATGCTGCCTTCACAAGCTGGCTAACGTCACGGCTCCATCACCCAGCGGGGTGTGGACTCTCTTTTTCTGTTCTTCTCTATTTAATTCTCTATTTGCTGCCTACTGCATTTCTTAATCTGTCTCCTGCCAAATGCTAACAGCATGATATTTTGCAATCATCTAGGTGAATACAAGAAAGACGAACTCCTAGAAGCTGCTAGGTAAGTGATTCCATTCATTTTAAGTGAGTATAATGCATGTAAGGGAGAAAAGGGGGAGGGCAGGTGGAAGACTATAAAAATTAAAACATGTTATTGTCTTGCTTGGATTTTATGCAATAATGCAGAGAAGACCTAGACTAAATCTTTGTGTACTTTATTTCCCATGATTAGTATATATAATGATAAAATCTTTCAATATGGTGATGATTATTTGGTTAATTTTATTTGAAACATTTCTTAAGGTACCTGCAAACCGTAGTTGCCCGGCTTTTCAAATGATATTTGTAGAGTATTTAAATGCCTATATCTTATTTTCCTCTGAAGATTTTTCTAGCAAAGCTTGAATGAGGGGCAGAAAGTAAATGTTTAAATCTTCATTTTTGTTGTTGTTGTTCTTGGTCATTTATAATTTAATTGATTAGCTCTTCACAGCATTTTGTATGTATTTTTTAACTCCAATGTTTTAGATCATTTTTATCAGAATAAAGTTTGTTTGTAATTAAGAGGATGACTTTATGCAGATAAATAAAACAAAAACGTAGAAAGCTACATTATCCAAGATATACCATTATATGATGATTAACAGGAATTAATTAGAAATACAGTAATTTAGTATTGCAAGAGATTTATTGTGATCCATATAAAAGAAATCAATCCAAACCCATATTATTTTTCACTCTTATGTGAAAAAATTATTTACAAATATTAATAAGAAGCTCTATAATTTTATAGGAATTGACTTACTACCTTTTTATAGGAGTGGTAATGAAGAAAAACTAATGGCTTTACTGACTCCTCTAAATGTGAATTGCCATGCCAGTGATGGGCGAAAGGTAAGTTATTTAAAATGTAATACCCTTCAATAATTTCTTTTTGCCTTGCAACAAAATTTTTTGAAGTTGGCATGTATATACACATATATGTATAGCTTCATGTATGTACAGACATATATATGGCTGTATTTTTACTGGCATCTTTTCACCATAAAATGAAATGCTGCTTTATCTGTTATTGGCAGTTCTGACATATTCATAGAGCTAGTGAAGCATGGATCTTAAGTAAGCCTTTTCTCTTAAATGTCAGATACTGAAAGTTGTTTGTTACATAGAACTGCAGCTTTGTTGGTGATTAAAAATTACAACACATATTATTTTCTGTTTATGGTAATGGGAATTGGAAATATTTGTTTATGTCCTATTTATCCATCTTTGTTAGGACATTTGCATTTTTGATTTCGTATTTGGCAGAGGAAGAAATGTGTTTGCTAGACACACTTTTTCCATTAAAGCAGAGAAAATGTTGATGATTTTTTTAAATCTATATAACAGCCTTGCCTTTTTGTATTCTTTTTATTGGTTTAGGTTTTAATTGTGGGATATTGAAAGAAAATAGATTAAAATAGAAATATTTTGCATTAATATACAGTTGTCATAAATGTAGGGTAATATGTAAAAATGTACACCTGGCAGCTTCATTATCTGCTCTGTATTCCTGCTAACTATAGACTGAAATGTAATTCTTTACAGCCATTGGTAATTGCAAAGTTTTGCAGTGATTTACCTAATAGACATTGAAAAACAAAACACTCTGTACTGTAAAGTTTTTTTAAGATGACAGTTAATTTTTTTAATAGTAAAGGATAGCTTTTATATTTTAAAAACCTAAAATATTTTTAAAGATACACTGAAAGTATTGAGGGAAATTTATCTTGTGCCTAGTATACAAAGAATGGATTCCTTTGAAATTCTTTATAGTGAAATGTTATGGCAAATATCAGAATGAATGGTACCTCTTAGAAATAATATTTTGCTTTTAAAAAATTACTTTTCTGTGAGTGATAATTTCATAGATCAAAATTACTCAGTTTTCCTTTAGTGCCTGCCTGCCTACTTTTTCCCCATTTTAATGAAATCCCAAAATACTGACAAGGAATTGAGTCCCTCAGAATATATGTAATTCGTTATTATAGATGGCTTGTATATTATGCCACATTTTTTAATGAGTGTTTAGTTTTTCTGCATAATTTTGGAAGAGATTTCTTCCATGGAAGATTAAATTACTCACATATATCAAGCTATAAACTAGCATAGATTTACTCAGCACTATTACTTACTCGTCGGAAGTGTTTTTAAATGGGAACTGCTCATTTTTCCTTCAGTTTTGAAGTTGCTTTGGGGAATTTAACACTCTTGTGTATACTTTGAGCTCCAAATTTTATTTGGATCATCTCAGCAGATAAAGCAACTTGTATCACTATGCAGAAAAGGTCCTTCTTATCTGTGGTTAAATGTAGCTATGGTTTTTAGACAGAGCTTGTTTAGAGCTTAGCCTAATTCAGTTTTCCATAGCTATTTTAATACTACAGAATTTATGTGAAATTACTATAGCAGGAGTCAATTTCTATGCCAGCTTTATTCTCCCTTTCTTACCCTTCTACCTTGACAGTCCCCTTTCTAGTGCAATAAATCACATTAAGGAGCATAATTGCTGATACTTGACAAATTATCTCTTCTTCCTGCTTCATACCTTACACAAATGTATAGAGCTCCTTTATTTTTCCTTCTCCCCACAGGAGGATATAGTATAGATTTCCTTTGGAATCAATATATTCCTCATCCAAATTCCTATGGCTTCTTTTCTGTTATTACTCTATGGCATTTACCACAGAGTTCCTTAAATTGTAGTTATTCATAAATATCTTTTTCTTCTGCTCCTCTGTTAGCTTTCTTTGTATATTGCACAGGACAAGTCTGGCACTTTGCATTTAGCAGAAGCTTAGGATATGACTCTGTTGTTCCCTGATAAACATAATTTTATCCTCTGAGTGAGAAAACCATCTGCACTCTTTTCCATTTAGAAAATTAAATCAGAAGTATATGAATTGGATATTTTATGTTTGCTATTATTATTACTAATATTCTGTTTATTTGGGGGTAATTATAACATGAAGGAGAACTGTATATTTTAAGGTGTAGAACATTTTTAAGAACACACCTCAAGTATTATTTTACTGAAGGATTCCTAACATATAAATAGGGCAATAAATTTCTAAAATGTGCTCTCGAACATTTTTAGATTATCAGTTTTTTAAAATTAAATTAGATAGAAAATGAAAAGTAGACTTAAACATTTATGAGGTTTTTAGTGCTTTGTATATACTATAGGAAATCATTTACAATTGTCTATCCATATGCAAAATGCAAATAAAATTTCATGATTAAGTTGAACTACACACACACACACACACATTTAGATACTCTTCGTTTATGTCACAGAGCAATTCTTATTAGATGTACCGGTTGCAGTAAAACCGTGAAGTGTTACTGTTCTGGGAGCTAGTGGAGATCAGGACAAGATCCCTTAGTTATGACATTATCTTTTGTTTTCTTGCTGTTATTATCAAGAAAACAAGTTAAGCAAATCTAACTGCTAAATAAGGTGTCTTTGTCTTAGATATGCAGTCTTTTTTCAGAACATTTGCATGGATTTATTTAGAATTAGGAAGCCAGATTGTACATTAATGAGAGGATAAAGGTACTTTTTCATGTATAGTAAATCAGGCATGTAAAGTTTTTATTTCTTGAATTTCATTTTAGAACACAGTACAGAATCAAATCTTTTTTTAGAGGTTTCCTAAATGACTATATTAATGTGTAACTGAGCCCTTTTCTGTCTTAGTTTTTACTACAATTCCTGGTTGGTAAATTTTAAAAACCCATGGAAATGTTAATTTCATAATGTTTTTGGAAAGGAAATGTTCCTTATACTGTGCTTAGTAGGTGGAGAATTTGCCTACAGATATGTGGGGGTTTGAGACTTTAGTATTCCCTTTTTAATGTAATACGTGGGATTGTACAATGAGAGTATAAATTTTAAATACTCTCTTAATTCTATACTGTGACTTGATGATTATCTAATTAGGTAATATGTAAGTGGCTAATTTTTATATTTCCCACAGACAGTTATTTTTCTAACCCGTAGAATTTTGAAAGTAGTAAGATTTTACATAACTTATATTGTTATATTAGGCTTTTATTTTACATACAAATCAGAATTGGAGCTTGGCTAGTGTAGAAATTTTATTGTTTTTTTTTTTTCCTAAAAATGAAATGCAGAAGTTTTTTGTTCTAATATGCTACCTTTTTGTTGTTTTAAAATGCTACTTTCATACAATTATATATATGCTATACTGATGGCCACTTCAGAAACATAGTATAGATACAATTTATTCTTCTTTCTCCTCCCATTATGATTAGTTATAACATTCCACAGTTCCTTATGACAGTTAAGTGTAATCAGAACCTTAAAGTAGATTGTTTCCTTTCTAAAATTCTTTATTCCTATATTTTCAAACTTAGATTTCTTAACGTTTAATCTCCTTTTACAGTGTTTTTCTTTCTTCTTTTTTTTTTTTAATCACTATCAGATGCCTTCTTAGCAATTAGCAAAGTGTTCTGGCTTATTTGATATCTAAATTTAAGGTGGTAATAGTTTCTTGTTTTTTGTTATCAATTTTCATAAGCACACCTTTGTATAATAAATGAAAATAAATGTTTGAATACATCTCAAATTATTCCAACTCTCAATCCTCTTGAGAATATTTTTCATCCTTCTCTATGTTCTTCCCCTTCCTAACTGTCTTTATTCCCTTCCAAAACAAATGTCCTAAATTTATCCCCTCCTCATCAGAGGAAGCACTAGGTGGAGGTTAGGGATTACTGTACATATTCCTGAATAGGTACAATATGTATCTTTGCATACATCTAATACGTCTACTATTGCCATGGTTATATGTCACCAAAGAGTTGAAAGTAGTAATAGCCAATAGGTGCTTTTTAATAAAATACTCAGTATAATTTCAGATATTTTCAGGTTTCTTTCTGTTCTTTCATTCACCCAACCAATACTCAATACCTGCCATGTATAGGTCAGTGTGCCTAAGTGTCATGGGAGATAAATAAATATATAGCTAATTGTACTTGCTCACAAGGAGCTCATAAATTGTTACAATGATTAAGACATTATCCAGGATGTCCTTTTGCTCGGATACAGTTATAAAGTGCAGATTTAAGATGAGTTTTTTTTTTCTGGCCTTTTATTTTTAAAGCATTAGTATTTAGACATGTATACCTTTCTGTAAGAAACTGCAAATTTAGATGTGAACAGGCCTTTGAAGAGGCATGATTTAAATTTGGAAAAATTAACTGAAGGGTTTCTTTAAATGTCAAGTTGCTACTGTGTAAATATTTGCTTCTATAAAATCATTAATAATGAGTAAGAATCTGGGTACAGAGAAAAGTAAAAACTATTTGCAAATGGAGATCAATCAGAAATAAAGTAGAATTTAGCTCCATACCTTTGAAGACACTGTGAAAAAAGCGTGATATACTTGAGCAAGCAAATAGGCTGTGAGATCGGAGAGACTGGGTTCTATTCTTGGCTCTTCCATTTTCGGAGTGTGTGACTATAGCTCTAGACTTTTTAATTTAGTCATTCTTAAGTGGGAATAATCATACCCATTCCACAAGGCATTAAGATTAAGTGAAATAATGTGGTCAGTGTGCCTAGTACAGTTTATAGCACATAGAACTTCAGTAAATTAGATCCTTTGATAAATTTTTGGAGACTTTGGCGTCCTCAAACTTTTTAAACGGGGCCAGTTCACTGTCCCTCAGACCCTTGGAGGGCCGTTGGAGAGTACAGCGCGTATTCCACACATGCGCACTGTGTCGGCTGCTAAGCAGGACAGGCAACGGCAGCAAAAACACCTGGCGGGCCGGATAAATGTCCTTGGCGGGCCGCATGTGGCCCGTGGGCAGTAGTTTGAGGACTC